ACAAAATAAACTTTTAAGATATTTTCATGTGAGAATGTTTCTGTGTAAACTTCAAATACCTGCTCGATTCATCAAGACATCACATATTTGCATAAATGCTCTAATGTTTTTGGAGATGCCTGTTACCCAACAGGTGGGGGGATTTAAAAACAGTCCTAAAATGTACAGGTAGCCAGTGGAGTGAAATTAAAATGGGGTAATGTGCTCGGACTTTTTTGTTCCAGTCAAAAGACGTGCTGCAGCATTTTGCACAACCTGCAGACGCCTAATGGATGCATCGCTAACCCCACAATAAAGTGTGTTACAATAATCCAGCCTAGAAGTAACAAAGGCGTGGACTACTGTCTCACAAAGCCGTTTCGATAAGATGGGCTTTACTTTGGCTAATTGCCTTAAATGAAAAAAGTTATATCTTACAACAGCTCTGAGCTGGCCTTCAAGTTTAAGATCTGCCTCCATTTTAACTCCCAGATTAGTGACGACTGGTTCAACATACTGTGCCAGCGACACCAACCGTCTGTGGAGCATGAAGGACCCTGCCAATAGTCTTAAATAAAGCACAAGGCTTACGGCAATTTGCCTGAATAATAGCAGCAAAATGTTTCTGATACGAATTCCAGTAATTATGTAATATTTGGTATGACACCTGAAGTTGATCCTTCTCCCATTTACATTCAGCTCTCCTACACTTCATTCAGCCAGGGTTCAGATTTGGCTTCAACTTGCCTAAGCTTAAAGGGGGCCACCGAATCTAAAACGGTTTGGCAGACTGAGTAAAACCAGAGGAAGGGTTCAAAATAGGACAGCACCGAGCAACAACAAGAGGAGGATTAACTTTGGTACAAGGAAGGGAAACCTCAAACAAGACAGGCTTATGATCCGACCATACAATGTCACAAACCTCTAGGTTATCCATCCATCCATCTTCATCCGCTTATCCGAGGTCGGGTCGCGGGGGTAGCAGCCTAAGCAAAGAGGCCCAGACCTCCCTCTCCCCAGCCACCTCCTCCAGCTTGTCCGGGGGAATACCAAGGCGTTCCCAGGCCAGCCGAGAGATATAATCTCTCCAGCGTGTCCTGGGTCTGCCCCGGGGCCTCCTCCCGGTGGGACATGCCTGGAACACCCCACCCAGGAGGCGCCCAGGGGGCATCCTTGTCAGATGCCCGAACCACCTCAGCTGGCTCCTTTCGATGTGGAGCAGCAGCTGCTCTACTCTGAGCCCCTCCCGGATGGCCGAACTTCTCACCCTATCTCTAAGGGAGAGGCCAGCCACCCTTCGGAGGAAGCTCATTTCTGCCGCTTGTATCCGCGATCTCGTTCTTTCGGTCACTACCCACAGCTCGTGGCCTGTCAACCTCTAAGTTAGAGACAGGTAAATTGTGAGTTAAAACAAGATCCAACGTGTGCCCATATTTTTGTGTAGGCACAGACACAGGTTGCACAAGATCAAGAGTAGATTTAAAAAGTCCTTTGCCTTTGGCTTGTCGAGGCAGCACACGTGAATAAGTCCCCACGAATAAGGACATGATCATATTTTGGCATAATTTCAGCCAACAGATCAGAAAAGTCATTTAAGAAGTCTTGATTGTATTTGGGGGTCTGTAAACCACAGCACAGAGCTCTGTGTGAGAGCGACCCAGCTCAAACACACTCAGTTCAAAGCTACTAGGTGATGTTGATGAGGGCAGTGGTTTACATTTATACTGCTTCTTAAAATCAACCGCTAGTTGTCCTCTGCCTGATATTTGAGGAGAGACACTCGAACAGCGTATCTGTTTTTCTGGTGTAAATTTGTCAGACTGCACTTAGAGAAGGTGTTCCTGACCTTTTTGGTGAGCGAGTCTGAGAGAAACAGATTAATCAGGATAAATGCAATCCCACCTGGCCTCCTGCAGCAGCTCCTGGATCTCCGTTAGCGGTTGTGATGCCGGATTCCCATCCAGGATGGTCTGGAT